TCACCCCATAATTTCAGTCCATTGCTGAATAGAATAAACTGCTTAGCTTTCTACAAAGATCAATTCATTATGTTTCCTACCACATACTGTGTAACCTACCTCATTTAACTAGTCAGTTGAAAAGCTCAGTTTCACTTTGGTCTGCATATCACTCATGTTTTCTAGTAGAAATGTAAAAGCAAGACTGATTCAAAGAACCATCAAACCAAGAAAAACTTGGATGCATCACCAGAAATGATGTTCAGTAGTACTGGGTACACCTGCACAATGGCCCAAAATGCAATGCAGGAGGTGTTGAAGGCTTGACAACACTGGGGTCCCAGAGACACATTCTACCAGCTTACAGCATTAATGTGTTGGTTTTTAAAACCCACAATATAAGAAAATGTGCTGCACTGTTTCTGAATGTTGCAGTCCATCCTGTTAAACAAACCTGGACCTCATAACAAGTCCTGCATCCAGGTAAGGCAGGATCACGATCCTGACCAATACTAGAAACACGGCTTTACTCGAACTGTTTTGGACAGAACCAACAGCAAGCAAAACCTGCACGGGTGCCACAAGCTACCCTCTGCATTAAAAAATAACAACAACGCACTCTCATACCTATATAAGTGAAAAATCCAACACCCCAACACCGCCCACACCCGTATCGGGGCTTCCACGAGGCGAAACCGACCTTGGGCGGAACTCCAAGTGTCCGCTGTTAATGACGTCACGAAGTCTTTGTTTACGAAGAACGCGATTATTTTGGATTCCCGGGAAGGCAGACCGAGTGGTATCGCGGTTAAGAGTAGGATTTGAAGAAGGGTTTGTTGCTTGCGCATTATTGGAACGTCATAACATTTGATAATTTAAGACCAGATATTTCAAGATACGAAGGCGCGAGGCTTCTGGGAAGAAGTTTTAGCATGATTATGGCCAGGGGAGGATCCAGAGGGGGCCACGGGGCCCAGACCTCCCTCGGTTTCTAAGGAGCCCATTGGTTCCGAGCCGGCCCTATGGCCGGCCGAACAGGTGCAATTGTTCGCACGAAGTGCAAAAAATTGTATACCTCAGGATTTCCAGGCGACCATGAACAGTTGCATGAGAAAGTGAATTGGGCCCACGAGAAGTAAAAAGAAAATTATTCAATGTTTGAAAAGTTGTGGATTGAAAATCTTAAGCTTTCTTTTCACTATCTAGGGCCCTATGCTGCTTCCGGGGGACCTATATGCCCACTTGCAGGGTAATTCCGGTCGTTAAGGGGCCTTCCACGTTGCCCTTGATTTCTTTGCATTTGCTCGGAGGGCCTTGGGTTGCTGCTGGACCCTTCCTGCTAGCGTACCGGGGCTTCCTTGTCAACCACAGACCGTTCACGGATTCTTCCTACTCGCCAGAAGGGCTCTGTGGGCTATAGCCGGGGCCTCAGGATATTTTAATCCGCAGGGGTATTCCGGGCTGCTCAGGGGTCCCTTACATGCGTCTCGATTAACTTACCGACGCGCTTGCGATGTTCTCCTAGACCCTCTATATTGGTCTAGGGCGCTTCCAATTATCTGGCACTTGCTTAGGGCCCTACGCTTTTTGTCGGGGGCCTCATCTGATAGCCTGCTTTGGACCCATTTGGTCCCAGATAAAGTCCAAGCTAATTAGATTGGTTCTGAACACCGCACCACTGCGACGCCGCGCCATCGAGATCTGGAGCCGGGCCGGTTTCGAAGAGCAATATGCATGGCTTCTATGAGTATCAAATTCTACGTTTTCTATGTCAATGAACAAGTCCATGCAGTTCACACATATCTGTTGCTACATATTTTGCATTTATTTTTATTCCATATCTTCCTTGATTGTTCTACTGCGCTCACATCATACTGTTCCAGAAGTGCGCGGAAGGAACCACTTTACCTGCAAGGTCTGAGTAGTTCAGTTCGTTGGTCTCTCACCTGTGCCATTCAGGACTAGATGTTTTAATCAGTTAACATCTGGCATAAATATCATTGGGTCCATTGTTGACCGTCTTGAGGACATTATGTCATTTGAGGGAGGGGTTCAGAGTGATAACAGTTGTCCTCGTCCAGGGATGACTTACAGTTCGGTGTAATACTCAGGTTTTGGCAGCGGAGTCGTATAGTTCTGATAGTTTTTACAGTGTTACAGGCCAATCGCCTGCCGCGGGGGGCTACGTGGATGAGCATGTGTGTGTAAGGTGTCAGAGAACACCTATGTGAGGCCAGTAAATGTTTGCTTAGTTTGGCGAGCGCCGCTTCGAGGTGCTCGCGTTCCCCTCCTCCTGCCCCATGTGCCCCGTGCGAGGGACGCGGCCGCGGGGGCCAGGAGAGGGCGAGTAACGAGGATAAGACTCGGATAACCGCCGGCGCAAAGACGGACGCGCCGGCGGGACGGACTGTGTGGAGTGCCTGTGACGCGTGTCAAATACAGAAGTGACTTTGGGTGTGCTGAGTGTACCAGTGAGCCGGAAGCGAGACGCCAGAACAGCAGAACTTACATGTGCATCATTTCCCCTTACTTGCGCCTCCAGTGGTTGTCGCTGCTTTGTGAAAACACGAGATTGGGAAGGGATCGTTTTCGTGCAAAAATTCGAGAGGTTGAATGCCAGAGGACGCAAAGATCCCAGCGATCTTTGAAAATGAGTCGTGCGCGCTTAAGGATATGGAGGCCCGAGACGTCCAGACGATCCAGAAAGACGGGGAGGTCTGGGGACCCGTGCTTGACAGAAATGTTCGCCAGATAACTCTGATTAAAATGGCCCATATAGTCTCCAGGTTTTCAGGAAGCTCTGGTATGGTTAAGGCTCTCGGTGGGACGGTCAAGGATTTCTAGATGCCGTCAATATCAGTCAGGGACTACGAATACGGGGTTCGGGGGGTTGCTGCACATTTTGCCCCGGAGTCTCGATCTTCGCGCAAGAGAAGGGCGTGTGTGTGCTTCCATGGCTTCCTGAAATGCATGGGTAGACGTCATTTGGATCTGGTAAACAAAGCCAAGGACCATGCAACTTGCACATATGCAGGCGTGGTGGCCAGTGGCAGTTGAATGTGGTCCAGCGGGACAAGAGTGTCACTTAGCGATAGTTTGCAAAACCATTTTCATGCACGGCCAAATCAGCTAAATAAATGACTTGCAAATGCGTGTTTTCTGTTGGTCACTAAGCCATGCAACTTGAATGAAGAAGGGAGGACGCGAAGAAATGATAGTAACGACATTTAAGCGAGCATTATGCGCTGCCAGTTTTATCCAGGGCAACCATGGCAGTAGGGACAACGGTTTGGCATGTCACGAACAGAGCGCCTTATCCCGTTGTGAAGTGCTTTAGAAGGGCCATGCGAGGTTACGCTCGTTACCCGTCCGTCGTTACTGCAGGTGGCCATGTCACCCACAGGGTCCATGGCGACACTCACCGCAATGCGGTCGTCTACGTGTGTATTGAGTTGGTGGCAGGATGTAGTTGTTGGTTAAGCATGTTGCAAACGAATGCTGGTGAGCCCCTCAGCTTTTCGAAAACTCAGTCAACTTCAAGAAGTAGCCTGGCCCTCTCACTATTTGGGAAATTCCTACGCCCCATTTAAGCATCATTCTCTCCTAACATGACGGCAAACGGGCTTCATTACGTGCGCTTGTGTGACATACCAAAGAACATATTAGAGGAAGACATCATCCATGTTGGTCGTGTACACACATGGCGCAGTGAAAACTGTCTCGAACAATGCAACACGCTCGGCGTCCTACGCGACGCACCTTAATTTATGCATTTTATATGTGCATGGTTGATACGGACGGGATCATGGGACGTTCGCACGATCTATCCACTTACCAGTCAGTCACACAAGCGGTGTGAAGCTCGGCACTGAGAGATTTCAACGAATCCATTGAAAACAACGCAATTTAACGTATATTGTGCTAAGCATTTCAGCAAGAAAAGGGCAAACCAACACGTGATGTCGTCTGGCTGTGCCGCCGCCGAGCAGACGCACGCGTGTGCGTAACGGGTGCGTTAATTCATCTGGCTGGCTGGTAGTGACCTGGGCAGGTCTCGGGCTCTCTGACCACATCATGGTCAGGCACCGCCAACCACTTTACCGACCCCAACAACAGCCCATACGTCAATGCAGTACAATGTACGCGGGCAATGCACACCCAAAATACACTCGGCCACCGCACCAGCAGCGGTGAGTGCCTCTGAACGCCACGTTAGCACGTTAGTAGGTCTACACCATGTGGCAGTGATTGTCACAGAATTTTTGTTGCGATCACAACATGTGGCACGGAACAACGCGCGGTGATTGCGCTTGTGGCAAAGCACAACTTGTGGTGATCACAACCTTGTGTAAAAAACGATTGCTCCAAAACGCTCACCACACGGCTTGTACGCGACACGAGACGCCCCGTTTTTGGATAAGACCGTACCCGCAATACCAGGGCTGGACAACCTAACAGTCATTCTCGGGCCGACCGCCTTCAAGTCGTCGGCAACCACCGTCGGGCGGCTAACGCTGCTAGGCGCGGCCGTCGGTGGCCAACGCCGCTGGGCGCGGCCGTCGGCGGCCAACGCCGCTGGGCGCGGCCGTCGACGGCCGACGCCGCTGGGCGCGGTGCGTCGGCGGCCAACGCTGATGGGGCGCGGCCGTCGGCGGCCCAGCGCTGCTGGGCGTGGCCGTCGGCGGCCAACGCTGCTGGGCGCGGCCGTCGGCGGCCAACGTCGCTGGGCGCGGCCGTCGGCGACCAACGCTGCTGGGCGGCCGTTAGCGGCCAGCGTTGCTGGGCGCGGCGCGTCGGCAGCCACCCGCCGCCCTTTCGGGGCCAGCGACACAACGTAAGCATGCGGCGGGCCATGACGGTGAGCGCTGCAAGCGTTTGAGCGTAGCCAGGACAGCACGTCAGTGCATTGAACCGGAGCCGAGGGGGTGCGCTGGCCGACGCCGATACACCGCCACCACGCCTGAGCGGGGACGGAGCCAGGGGATGACCAGGGACCTGCCGCCCACCTGCCTGGACCACGGCTATGAAGCGCAGCCTCCCTGGGGCATGTGGCTGCTCTGGGGCACACCGGAGTGTGGGCGGATGTCGGAGGGGTCTCTGGAGGCACCGGGGTTTGGCTGACTGGCGGAAGGCGGACTCTAGTAGACACTTGGAGCGTGCGCTGTTTTCGGGGTAGGTCTGGGGGAGGCGGCATCTGAAGTCATTTTTCACGGCAGCCCCTGGAGACACCTGGTTCGGCTTGGCGGCGTTTGGTTTCGATGAACGCCGCGGGAAGTCCGTGGCGACACTCACTTTGGTGAACCGAATCTCCTATGTAAAGCCGCTCCTCGGCGGGCAGCGGGAAGGGGACGCCCCGGCTCCGTCCTCGCCTCGCGGTCTATCAATTCGTCAATCCGCGTCCCAATCCGGATCACACACTGAGCATGAGTTTCTCAAATCCACAGCGCAGGAAATAAACACACAACTACGGCATGACAGATCACTGATGCAATGTTTGTGCTTTGCGTGGAAATTTTGTTCACACAAGTAAAAAGTGAAGCACACTGCACCGCTTCCAACGACAAGGGCAGTTCACAAAATGTGCATGGCTCTATCCTGCCGTGCCCCGAATGACCGAGTTGTCAGGGAGCACCGGCCTCAACTAACCCAACTGACTGGACAACATCAAAAAACGTGACTTTGCCGCCCGTGCCCGGGGTTTTTAAAGCTCCGTAATCGCACATCTGCAGGCTGTGCGAAGGTCCCATTCGGATCTTATCCCAGTCGGATAAGCCCAGTGGTTCATCTCAGCCAGACCCGGTGACTTCCCACAACACAAAGCACAATCCAGCACTCAACGGCAACTGCGCGACCCAGCCATCGGTGCACCCTGGCGAGCCCATGCTCGGTACCGGCCGGCACAGCAGGCAGCTTCACGTTCGATCCCAATTATCAGCGACAGCGCCGATCCCAGTGCACGGTACGATCAGCGCTACCGCCGACAATACCGTCTGTCAAGTTGTACCTCAATGTTCATGGAGTTCAGATATATGTGTATATATCATGTACAAATGTCTCAGATGCGCTCAAAAGAAAAACGCCCGGCGTTTTTATTCAAAACCAGTAAATTAATGTAGTTGGCCCTTGTGTAAAACTTTGCTTTCGCTGTGTCACTTGAGAGTTTCGTCAAACACGGTTAAATAGTATCTTTGGATGGAGCGCAGGGTAGTAAAGCGGATGTCATAATACTGTTCCGGGTAGCAGCAACCTCGCGAATTGGCTTAGGTTACACTGTTCCAAATGTTGGAAAGAACACTAAAGGGATGTTGTCACGGCCACAAGCAATCAAGGTGTGGGCGTGTATGTGTGTGTGTGTGTGTGTGTGTGGTGTGTGGTGTGTGTGTGTGTGTGTGTGTGTGTGTGTGTGTGTCTGTGTGTGTGTGTGTGTGTGTGTGTGTGTGTGTGTGTGTGTGTGTGTGTGTGTGTGTGTGTGTGTGTGTGTGTGTGTGTGTTGATTTCATGGTTAGTGTTTGTCGTGCTACATCTTCCTAAATCAATGGAAGGCCTGGAGCACTCATATGCAAACAACGCGAAAAGGAGTCACGGCTTACTTTTTAAAAGAGAGTAATTGCTTTTCTTTTACTACGTCTTACCTGACAAGGCTTGGATCGAGAGTGGATTTTTCTCAACACTCGCTGGCTTTTACAACCGAATGTGTTGCAATTACATAAAAGGGATTGGGTTCACTCCAAACTCCAAAATCGTTGTGGAGTAGGTAGAGAGCTTTACTACTTTCTCGTGATTTCTTTGGTGCCCTCTTTTTGTTCCAAGTTTCCGTTGCGCTGCAGCGCCGTGATAATTCTACTAAATTGTCACTTAGCCAATGACTCAATTGGGGGGGGGGGGGGGGCACCATCTGATGGTGCTTCCATCATGGTAGCGTTGCATTTCATAGCGTCCTGGCGGAAGGCGAAGCGAAACATTCGAAAATCGTTGGGATTATAACCATATTTCGGAGATTTGGAACCGTCTACTCTTTCTCACAAAAGAAGGATTTCAAATGCTGGAAAAAGCGGAAGGATGAAAACAGCTTCATGTGGGTAATTTGGATGGTTAGGTCAACAGCGCGCACCAAAATATCTAACTAACCCCGCCTTTGGTTTTGCTACAACCGAAACCCTCTACATTCACATTCTGCACGAAGTCTGCAACAGCCCCGTGATACTATTCCGAATGCTTGCAACGCACACGCATGTGTCCCACAGGTAAGGTGCTATGCTGCAACCAGGCAATACAGCTAGTTTCGTCATCAAAAGCACAACTATACTTGAGCCGGGAGACCTCTTCCTACGAACATGCTGGCAACATCAGCTCCAATAGACCTCCACAAACGCCATTGATCAACTACTCCTGCATCATGCGGACACTTTCAACTAGCGCCCACCAAAATGTTCAACGTCAAAAACAGGATCAACCACGGCTTTTCAAATGTGTTCAACTGGTCCAGGCTGAGCCGCTGAGCTGGTCGCATTGGCACTGTGCGCTTGGGGTGAGAGGAGCGGCCCGGCGCCGCTCGGCAGCGGCGGCTCGCCGAGCCGGCGGCGCCGGCCGCCAGCTGAGCAGTGTCGGCCACCGGGCGGCCGCGATCAGAGCGCCGCGTCGTCCGCCAGGCAGCAGGGCGAGCAGCGGGGGCGCGGCGCGCGCCGCCCGCCGGCCGGTGGCGCAGTCGGCGGCGCAGCCGGCTGCAGCAGCACGCCGGCTGCGCTGGGCTGCGCCAGCTGCCGCGCCTGCAGCAGCTGGTCGCGCCACCTGCCGACCGTCTCTGCCGGCACGTACGTGCTCTGTTCGGGGTCGTCCGGCGGCCGGCCGACTCATTGCGAGGCCGACGGCGGCGGCTCGGCCGGCGGCGGCGGCGGCTCGGCTCGCCGTGCGTACCGCGGGTGCTCACTGATGCTGTGGTAGTGGCCGTGGTAGACGACGCCGATGTCACGCAGCACGTCGCCGCGGATGGTCGCCTTCAGCGTCCAGTTGTGGCAGTCGTCGCCGTCCTTCTCGCGCTCCATCCGCTCCACGTCCAGGATCTTGGAGCTCAGCCGCTCCAGGATGATGCCGATGTCCTTGATGCTGAGGTAGCGCGTTCGTTCCACACTCAGCTGGTCCACCAGCAGCAGCAGCTTCTGGCTGGTGCCTTCCTCGTTGACCGTGTTATCCCCCTCTGACTCGGAGCTTTCCTCTGCCGTCGCGCCCTTCGCCGCCGCCGCTGCTGCCGTCTCCGCCCGGGCCACCTCGTCGAAGCGAGCGTGCGTGAGCGGCCGGCGGCCGCTGGCGGCCTCCTGAATAGGCGACGTGGCCGCCGACTTGGTGGCGGTGGTCGGCGCGCCGCCCCGATGCAGCGCGCAGCAGTGGAAGTCGCACTGGTCGGCCGGCGAGCCGCGCGTCGCGTGGTGGTGGTGCACGTGTGGGTGGTGCGCGCCGCATTCGGCCGTGTGCACGTGCACGGTGCCCGACTCAACCGAGCTGCCCTGGCGCGTCAGGCGCGCCGGCCCGTACGGTGGCGGCGCGCCGTGGGGCGGCACCGGCGGCGCGGCGTCCGGCGGCTCACTCGGCGTCTCGCCCACGCCGCGCACCACCAGGTGCGCGCGCCGCTCGGACCGCTCGCCGCCCGCCGCCGAGTCCCAGTGCAGTTGCACGGTCACCTGGCCGCGGTTGTCGGCGATCTTCCAGGAGGGCGCCTCGTCCCGCAGGTCGAGCGCGTGCATGGTTTGGCAGACGATGCGTGGGATGCAGGTCAGGGCTGGCGGCAGGCGAGACGGCGCTCAGTCAGCAGGCTGCCGCCGACGTTGGCCATTACACACCTCCAACTGAGCACAAATAGCTCCGTGGACGTGGCATTTAATCGACATACGAGGGGAATAGCTTCATTTTCTCATGTTTAAGTACCACAACATGTTTCATGACATTTGCAGCGCAGACAATGTTTCCAAAGTTGTATGCTTGTATCCTGCGGTTCTACACCCTGAATTGTACGCTAGGAAAGCTCGTAGAAAGGAAGCGTTTCCAGTGCTGAGGGGTCCATAAAGTGATTGTGAGGCTCCATCCGTCACACAATGGCCCTTCGAATGAAGACCGAGGGCTGAGCGCGAGCGAATCGTCCAGACACCTGCTCTGAGCATGTCGACACCGGGCGGCAGCCAGCGGTCCGAGTCCCGCAGCAGAAGGAAGACTGTGTTGTCCGGCAGCGTGGCGAAATACTCGGTGTCGTCCACGGTGGTGCCGTCCGACTCCAGCACGGCCGAGACGCCACGGCTGACGTCATACTTGAGCTTTTCTCGACCTGGCGGCAGGCAGCGAAAGGGCTGGATAACATTAGGTGAATGAAGTTCCTGAGGTTCTCATGGAGCCAACATTGTCGTTTCTCGAACGGTCAGATTTAGGACACCTTATATATTGCTGTTCTCTCAGGAGGTTGAGCTTCGTTTCGAGGGTTTCTTTAAATAATTCGAGACATCTGGTGCGTGTAAATATATCAGTTCCTAGCAAACAGTAGGCGTGTTCTCTGGCGTGGCATGAGCAAGGTACTGGTGGAGACTGTACATATAAATGTACACATACCCACGCATATATGAATGCATGTTGTAACGGCACTGGCACCGGTAGACGCTCCGAATGTGTGAATCGTCAGTTTCGCCAGTCCAGAACGCAAACGCCTTCGCCTTCTTTTCAACACTTCATGTGCATCGGTGGCAGATAAGATCAGAGCTTTGGGAAAGATATTTGTCATTCAAGACCAGCAAAAACAGGAATGGCTTCTAAGACTACATTAGCAAAATGTTTTGCTGGAGATTTAAGCAAAACTCCGATCAGACTTGGAAGTTTCTCCAAATCATTCAGTAGGAACATTGGAATTTTGACTCAAAATTCTCCCACGGTACGCAGGCCAACTATCTGGCTCAAGCTCAGGGAAATTGTGTGTCTTGCGGTCCGTCCAAATGCATTGGGGGGGGGGGGGGGCGAAGGCTCAACTCAGGGGTCCGGACCTGGTTTACCCAAATACTATTTGTACGAGAAGCTCAATAACCCGATTCCTGGGTCAGGGATAGGTCATTATAACGTAAAATGCGGATCTAGGAACAGATCCATTTTATCATGCATCCCAAAAATGCAACAATGTTAAATGTCAGAATTTCATACACCAAATGCCAGATTAAATATCCTCTAGAAGCCTGTTTATAAGAAATGGCACGGAACATCGAGCATGAATTTTCGCGATCAAAATTCTCCTCATAATCTTTGTCTCAAAGAAGTCACATTAAACTGGTTTGCCGTTGCATGACGCAACAATCGACGCCTATTTACATGTTTTATATACGCACCGTTTTCCCGTAGCATAAATATTGCGCGTTGCATTTGAACGTGGATTTCCCTGACATATACTTCTGGCACCGCGTTATGCTCATTGGCATGTACGAAATCTAAGAAACCGTAGGCAAACATGCCATGTACATGGCATGTATCACAACCCCCATAGTATCACAACCTTCCCTTGGCCTCTTCCAGAACCAGATCACTCTGGAGAAATTTTTGACATGGACAGGGTCACATTAAAGAGGATGTTCTGGCCGCCACACTTGTACCCTAAAGTTGGAAACCATTCTACCACCAAATTTCGGAGTCCTATTTGACATTGCCAGTCTGCGTCGAAAAGAACTTGGAAACGTGTTGGGTGTAATGACAGACTGTTCTAGTTAATTGGAAGAGGTTTATTTCTATAAGCTGAGTGAAAAGAGAGAAGGAGTGAAGTTTAGAGCCCCCAACATGTCGGGGCGGACGCGCCTATAACGCCTCGTCACGACGTATCGACTTGGCGCGACGACGCGTGATGGAATGAAATGCGAGAGTCTGGAAATACCGGACCTCTGCTATAATCCGTTGGAGAGGATCTATTTATACACTCTCTGGTGGGAAACGGGTAGCCAAATACAGCGCAGCAAATATGACAGAGGTGGCGTTCTTGGCACGGACGTATCGACCAAGCGCTGTAGTGATCCTACTGACCAGCTGCACTACACTTGGTGTTCCAGAGGCTCACATATCATATTGTGGCCTCGGCCTTCACCAGCGGTGCCTCATCTTCCCGTGGAATTGTCGAGGGTGCCTCAGGAACCACTGGCGTCACGGGCTTGTAAACGTATCGAGACTTCTACGCATTGTTGCGGCCCTCCAGCGGTTTTGGGATCGTTTAAAAAATGTTGACGGGTCTTGGCCATCTGCGTCGCTGACCGCTGTTCTCTTATTCGTCCCAATGTTTTGCGGGGATGGTTTTGAATCGCAGCCCTTAATAGGCAGGGAACAGCTTGTTGCGAAACCCCGAACTGCGCCACCATCGCAAAAAAGTTATAACGCAACGGATTATTTCTGCCGAAAGATACTTACTTGTCGCGCAACACTGTAACACAGACCAGCCCGTTCCATTCCGGTTGTCTTGGCCCGGTACCAATCGACCATCGAAGGCGAGTCACACAAACCTGGTTCTAAGGACGGCAACCTACGTGTCTGTCACCAATCGGCCAGTGTCCGGTACCCTTGATCTCATCCAGTTGGTGAACTGAGCTCTATCAGGAGGGCAGACGTCCACGGACTTCTGAGTCCCCTTGATTTCCTCATCGTCTCAGGATAGGAGTCACTTCATTCCCGCCAGGTGAGCATTTTTCTCACCTTCACCGTAGGAGGGTTGACAGAGACACAGTTCATTATTGGAGCGAAGACTGTCCCAAAAGCAAAACACACCAAAGTAAGACGCTTGGGCTCAGCGGACGTCGTTGAGCGTCGGTGCAGGGGACCTTTGGTGGGCAGAGCTAGGCCATTGGGATAAAAAATATGTCTGAAATTCATCTTAATTGTAGGAAAACAATTGGAATGATTTTGACGAACAATGATTAATCAAAGATTTTCACACCGCGTTTGAATGTTATAAGCCCATGTAACAATTTTAGCATCACGCTCAAAACGGCCTAAATATTGTCCCACAAAATGGCGGTGGCCCGCATCCGAAGGCTTGTTCGGCGTCAACCGAGGTAAAATGTCTTATTCATTTCACATATCCGGCTTAGTTGGCTGCATCGGGAGCCTGAAGCGTTGGCCTTGACACGCGCTCGGGTGGGGGTCAAATTATCCCCCAAAGATTTTTCCGGGATGGTTTCCGAACGGCATGACGTGGTACCGTCAAATTTTGCATAGCTGTAGACAATTGAGTAACAGATCGCTTGCATCAAAAATGTAGATGTTCCTTGCAAGGTCGCTGACCTATGGCAGATTAAAATCAGGCTAGGGTTTCAGCAAAGGCACTTCTAGACAACCGTTCAATCTGATCCAACAACGGAGAGTTAGACGAAGCCATATATCTCTGAGATGCTCTCTTTGGCAACGTAACAATTGAATAAAAAAATTGAATCAATCTAGGGTCGAGCGTGAAGGTCAGACCAAGGTCAAAACCAACCTGTTTTATTACTGCAGGCCTTGCTGTGTGGTGTAGTTTCTGGTGCTCATTTCAGATTTACTGATTACAGGAACCGCATTATATACCTTTCATGGACTTCTTTAAGGTCAAAATAGGTCACTGACCTGAAATGACCCAGGTAAACATTTTGTTTTGAGGAACATGCTGCCTAGCGTATTCCTTGCCGCTTATCCAAACGCAAAACTCAATGTAGTCTTTGATGATTTTGGTCACCATGACCTTAAAAAGGTCAAACAAGGTCGTTGACCTTAAATGAGCGTGACATTTTGTTTAGAGCAGCTATCGAGGTTCTGAGGGGCACCTTGGATTGACCTACCTGAAGATTGACCTTGTTTGACCTTATTTGACCCGCGGGTCATGACCTAGGAGCTTCAAACTTTGACCTAAGTGTGTTTACGTATAGTTCAACACATCCTGTAAATTTGGCGCATCTAGCTTTCTTAGTTCCTGAGATCTCAGCGGGTCAAATTGACCTCCACCCGAGCGAAGGGTATCCAACCGGCCATCCGGGCCCGTGTCAAAGCCTGTTGATAGTTTCTCTTGGCTTTTGACCTTTGCCTGCTATTTGGGAGGATCTTTGGACGTCAAGTCAGTGCGGCAATGGGCTTCTTTTGCTCCCATGGTTTCATCACAAGTTCCTGTCCACTTCACTGGCCCAGGGATCTTTCAACGTTCCCCAAATCATATTTGCGTTACCAATGAGGTCTCGCTGGACGTCTAAATGGTTCACTAAGTTCCTGTGGCACCTCATGTCTTGCAAATGGTGACCAGAGTCGTGCGCGCGCCATATGCCAGTGGCAGCGGTGCTGTCACCCTAAGTCACCCCTGATTTCCGTTGTATACACGGCACCTATAACTGCTAGCACAGCTCCGGCTGGACTGCAATACACAACAAAAGGCATGCCGCAGCGCGCCAAACGTAACGAACATTTCGGTTGTTCCTGCGCACGGTCAGAATAAGATACAACGTAAATTTAAGGGGAAATGATCTGATGAGTGGAATAAAAAGACGAACGTGGATGTTACACCATAGTAAGGCAACAATATCCATCTGAAAAAGGCTTACACTTAGATCACTGAAGTATGTTTTTGAGATTGTTTTTTTTTACCCCCTTAGATCATCTCCCTCGGTAACTCCTGTCCATGCCTTAAAAGGAATATGATACCTTTTTGAACCGTTCACTTGTTGTCTGATAGGCGCGTCCGATTTCATTATTAATATCAGCTTTCTCGAGATCCGACTGACTAGCTCAGAATTTCGATTCGAGGCAGCCGCTCCTGCGGAAGAAATGTCATTGGACTCTGCTCACCACTATAAAAGTAATACGTTTAATTTGTCTTGCTTTTTTCCAACGCATGCATTCTGCAATGTTTGCAACATATTTATTTGTCGAAATGCTCGGGAAACAAATTCTATGAAAGCTGGAAACACTCTCTTTGGAGAAAAAAGTGTGGAAACATAAGGTTATCAACCGGCGAATTCAACGAAATGTTACACTATGGCTTTGAAGTTTCACCTATGGAGTTAAGCACAGTGACTCTTTTCGAAGCGCGCTTTGGTTTGGGAAACAGGGTATGACATGGTCTCTAGTAATGCACCGGTCCGAACTTCAGCCAATGCATTTCTCGGTAACTGGCCTTTACCGCCCGCTCTGCCAATCACGGACGTTCATTTGTGCTGACGTCATTCATACCAAAAAAGGTGCCTTTTTTAAGCCCGCAGGCCCGCAATGTGCGGGTTAAAACAGCTCAAAAGTGGTACCTCTGACACGTAGCAATTGACAACGGCCCAATGCAGATTCTGCCGTCGTCATGATGACGGCGGTCGCTACAACTGCAGTTGTCCCGAACTTGGGATGCACTACAGGTATACCAAAAAAGGAAGAAGTACAGTGCGTTTACAAAGCGTTGACAGAGTAATTTTGACGCAAAACTAACTAAAATGTATCTTATAATATAATGATGGTGCTGCGGCGGCACTGTCCAGTGGTACCATCAGATACAAATGGTCCTGATGTTTCATCGGAGTGTGCTCATAAACTTTTCCTATAGGCGGGACACTCCCTTCAACCGAACGCCTTTCGATGGCACAACACAGTCGTGATTTTTTGCGAGTGTAACGGAATGTTCCTGATGGAGTGACATGGAACAGACTCGGGAGACATGGAACATAGCCGGGAGACTATTGAAAGATAATAGCTGGTTGGGCTTGGGACGGACTCGGGAAAACTCGGGACAATCGGGAAACTTGGGGCATATAGTCAGGGGACTTGAGACAGATAGTCAGGATATTTGGAACAGATGACCGGAAGGCTTCGGGCATGATGAGTAAATCTGTGGCAACATTGCTTACATAATCATTGAACAAGATATAGTGAGTTAAAAGTGAACAATCAACGCGCGAGCTATAATTCGCGCATTGCTGATCCACTTTAAAATAAACGTACCCGTTCGTTGTCAACCATTGTATTCGAATTGTAATGGCATTTACACCTGCAGATCAGTCCGACCAATCCGACACCCATCAAGCTAATTCCTGCTCAAACAGATATTTGAGCTGGGATCTGGCCTTCTATGAAACTTTTCTAGTAGTGGAGGCGGCGACCCTTTGTCGTATTACACAAACACTCTCCGGATCCCAAAGGTCAAGTATTTCAGTACATCATTCGCGTCATGACAGACAATTGTCATGCTTTGAACTGGATATTGCACTTGGTCTTATGAATTTACTTTTATCCAGCATAATAGTAATGCATGTAACGCACAAAGCGAGTATATTTTAAACAGCACGCGGCAGTGCTCACGCTCCGCACTTCACTGAACTCGGAACAGATCTCAGACATACAACTCCAAAGCTGCTCCAGTCTGAGCAGAGCATACATCCTCAAGCTTGACAAATAGTTCACTGTATCCACGCTTTGGCAGGTCGGCCATATCATGCGCCAGAAACAAAGCGAGAGCATTCCATTCTGTTGTCATTCGTCGAAGCAGCGGAATGCAGCGGACGTTTTCTCCGCCCTGCACCCGTAAAATCCAGTCTGCGTTTCACTGTTCGCTCTTCTGGTCCCTGGCAAATGAAGCGGCCCTCCTTAGTTTCCTGCCTTGTTTCCCACGACCTTTGTTCCGCTGTTTGCCGCCTCTGCATTTTCTTCTTTCTTTTTAAGCCTTTGCAGTGCTTGCTCTTACTTTCCTTTCAACTTTTTGAACTACAGAAACGACAACGCCATTTTGTGGTTGGGCTGCGAGCCTTCATGCGCGCCGTTTTTCTCTTCGATGAGCCTTTGAGCAGCTCGTGATCTCAGCACGTCATCTTCTTGGATTCACTGGAAGGGACACCGCGCCGGGTCGAGGACGATGGTATGGGCGGGATCTCACTGTTCACCTGTGGCGCTGTGCGCCGCACCGCACCACCTGCCTCTTGGATGGGGCCAGATGTCTCAGCCGGAGCAGCGTCACTGTGGGGGTTGACCTGCAGGTCAACGTGTCAGAATACGAGGTCGGCAGCAACAGACTCTGCACGCTTGCGTGTGGCTCATTTTCTGTGGCTCGCCAAATAGTCAAATCTCGGGTGTTTTGAAACCAACAGATTAGTTTTTTCGCGGCGCTGTCAGGTGCTTCTCGTTTAGCATTATTGCCAGGCACTTCTCGGCAAGGACGCTGTTTTGTGGATGTTCAGTTGTTTTCGGGACTCTTCACGGTGCAGGAGCTGCATCCGGAGATGAAGGATAACTTCTTGTGTCCAGGCACGCTCCCCATGAACTGTTAGGTTTTGGGCCGCGTATGTGTGGCGGGAAGGTGGCTCCTGTCACGCGACTCTTATGGTCGTCGAGCGCAATCAAAGTGAGCTGCTTTGAAAAAGAGCCGGGGAACTTGAACAGGCTTCAGCATTTTGCCAAACTCATCATGCATTATCCATCCCGATTTGTGCACAAGTTGGGAACAAGCTACGGAAGAACGTTACGGAAAAGCACAAATGTGCACCGCTAACAGGAAATTATTACGTGATATTTCCAAAACAAAGTTTTGTTTTGAGAATATCACGGCGTGGTTTGGAAATTCAGATGAAATGTAAGACAAGCGCTGCATCTGTGCACGGGAGCAAAATCATAAGAGTGATAATTATATTAACTGTAAATTGCTCTAGGAATTTTGCCGCTTTGTGACGCTTTCTCCACAAGAAATGGTGAGATCTGGCAAACTCTTCTTTTCACACCAAATCAGAACTGCGCTAACTTAAATTTCAGCCCAAATTTGGGCGCTGGCGTGGCACAAGACTTGCGATATTTTAAAGCTCTTGCTCTTTTGTTGTCTTTTTAGGCCGCTCGTTTCAGACGTCACGTACAGAAGTCTTTGGAAATTAGCCTAGCGTTGGTCGAAAAGGGCGCCACTTTGGGTATTTCTTGAGATTTCTTTTGCTTTAATTTTGTACCTAGATCGAACAAAAAAGGAGATTTTTTCATCATATCGACATCACTATTCCCGCTCAAATGCTGCACGCTAGCACTAACATCACAGGAGATTGATGTCGCTGAAAAAACAATATTGATACGCAAATACTTGGAACCTGAACAACTGTGCGCCCAAATTGGCTCGAACAAATTAAGTGCATGCAGTCAAACGGCAATCGACTAAAAAGCCTGTTCCTAGTTGGCAGTTCTTGTGCTGAAAATCATGGACCTTAATTATGTCACAAGGAACTGGTTAGACCATTGTCAAGTCAGCATTTGTTATAGTGATTACCCAATTCTATTGGTCTTCAATGCTGGCCAAAGCTTGCTTGATAGCGCCGTTAACACAATGCCTCTCGGTATACTGAAGATTGATTGTTTTCAGCCTAGAGTGCCCACTCGTTATCCCGAAAAAAAACAGGAGCCTGAGGTCCTTCTTCATTATGTGGGGAAAAGACTAGCACTGGGACAGAAATGATTTAGTCAGGCGCCAGCCTAATACCGTATTAAGGTAGGCGTGTTTAACAGGGGCATGTTAATGGCCGACGGTTCGTGAGATAGCATCACTTTACATGCATTTTGGAAAACATGATCCGCGACACCAAATGAATTTGTCATGTACATGGCCATAATCATAGGTTCTCGGAGGTACGTATATCAAGATATCGCAGGTTCCAGTGGATATATGCCAGATTCAACTGAATGTCATGCATTTTTTGCTGCGTATTGGTCATCGTAGCAAAAAAAGGGCGAACGGAAGTCACGCTACTTCACCTCTTAACTCGCTGAAAACACGTTTCAAGCAAAGGTCGCGAAGACAGGAGGGATGCGAGAAAAGCTCTGCCCAATACGGCGGAATTTTTAATTGGTGTAGATGCGTGTCTGTGACATCCCCAGTATAGAAGAAGCGTTAACGCCCGTCAACGCGCAGGGAAAGCAGGGGTTGGAAATTGCTAGAAAGTTTGAAATACTCTTTGCATCATTTTGTTACACTTTGCCTAGAAAACTGTTTTCTCGAAAAGATACGCCCTATGACAGGAGTATTGGGTAGTAGTGAGACATACCAAAAAAGATGCCGTTGAATATCTTCGAGCAGACGTCAAAAGCAAAACTTACCCCTTTTGCGCTCGACTTTAAAACGGTTAATGCGGTGGATGGAGCCTGCCCCCAAAGCATCGGACGCTGTATTCACTCGTGGCTAACGTTGCTGCGCGCAGATATGTGGGAAGGACGTCATGAAACCATTTAAAATAAAGTCGAATTGGACGAGGAGCAGAGAGAACTTAACATCACCAAACAATTTGATCCTGGAATAGCTAAACAAAGATGTAAACTGCGTGAGCCATCAGCGCCCTTCTCCTCTTTACTATGACATTGTGCGCAGCAGAAAGCGCAGTGTACTAGTAACACAAATTTGGCATCCAGCGGGCTGATGACCTCACCTTTGTCACCTCCGCGGACCGACAGCCTCACCTTTATCACCTCTGTGGGCCGATGGTCTCACCTCCATCACCTCTGTGGGCCGATGGTCTCACCTTTATCTCCTCCGTGAGCCGATGGTCTCACCTCTATCACCCCTGTGGGCCGATGGTCTCACCTCTGTCACCTCTGTGGACCGATGGTCTCACCTCTATCACCTCTGTGGTAGTCTCCGATAGGTAGTCTCACCTCTATCACCTCTCGATAGGTAGTCTCACCTCTAGTCAGCAGCTCGCCTAGTGAAGCCGCCACCAGGCCTTTTTTGGTGTGCCTCCGGTGGTCCCAGACCTTGAACGGACGCTTTCGTCCGTCAGGCTGAAAACGGGCAACGATCGTTAGCCGTCGGAGTGCATGACGTGCAGGTAAGCCGTGGCTGCCTGGCGGAGGTCAGCAGACTTGCATTTAGTCGTTAGCCAGGCTAGCTGCTTGGAATAATTTGATTTGATGTGTGATTGTTCGTGTAAAAGCGTGCAAGCTAATCGGACGCTCTTTTTTTACAAATGCGCTCTACGGTCTCAGATGGATCACTGTAAGCAATATATCAGGTCGGCGTGGAAATGTTTAGTCGGGAACAACACGCAACTCCTCGGCGCCGTTTCAAATCGCGCAGTCCTGTCTTTTCTGCCTCGATTCAGCAATGCTCGCCGTCCATCCCAGAGCCGGCAGCTCCTGTTTCATCTGAGCTTTGTGAGCGCGTTGAGCGCCAGAAGATAGGCCTCTGTCATTCAGCGCTTCAGAACTCCTGCCGCCGGTTGTCGTGGTCGAACTGCCGCGAGAATGGCTTAGTTGGCTTGATCGCATCGTGTCACACTTGCCCAGAGTGTGCCGACCCAACCCGGGCCGACATCTGCCGGCAGCAGAGTGCCGTTCAGGGTGCCGGTGGGGATCGAGCCTATGACCTCAGCATGATCTCATGAAGATGACGATGTAACCAGCCTGGCTGTTGGAGGCTTCAGAGATGGGTGCCGGTGATGCGCTTGTTAAGGGGTGCGTTTGGGAAGCCAGAGACACGGAGTTCGATTCGCCGCGCCGCTCGCCCTTCCTGTCAGCGTAATGGCAAGCGCCGTCATATGGCCTCAGCAGCCGAGTGCGATGTAGAGTCCCAATGGCAAAGACTTCAGTGGCGCTATCATCTAAAAGGACAACGACGCTCGTCCAATGCGGCTGCTTCATGATGAGGCTACCTCGGGGTCAGATCCGACGTGGTTGACCAACGCCTGCAGGACGGTGCCCGCGGCAAGTGTGACCCTACTTCTACGTCAGACACGAGCTCACATGCCCAGTGATGACATTATCGTCCGAGGTCCAGAGCGGGCCGTCGCCTCGAAGCAGACCAGGAGGTCTTCAGCTCGTCCACAGCACTCTTGATGACGCCCGAAGCGAGCCGTGGGGCTCGTCTCGTGCGCACGAGTCAACAGACCGCCTCGTCTGATCGCCCCCGCGGACGGTGAGCAGGGATGCTGAAGAACTCTCATCGGCCACTGACCCCCACCCCGCCGGCGCATGGCGCCACGTGGACTCCGTCGTCCGGCGCCCTGCAGTCGGCCCGCCGCCACAGCGGCCGTGCTCTAAGCTCGGCATCGACTCGGTCGGTGCCATGAACTCCACTTCTCGCGGCTCTCAGTTCGCAGTCGGCATGGCGGGTCGCCGTCGCAGGTGGGTGGGAGTGGCCCTGGCGGCTTGCCTTGAGCAAACAGATGGCACCAAGCTTGAGGGTGTTCTTTAGGTTCGCGAGAGCCACCCAGACGTAATCGCATCGAACGGAGTGAGGCAGTCCGTTATTTAAAAAAAGAACTAGCGACGTCTCAAGCACCCCGGTCTTCGCCACATCAAGTCAGCCTTTGGCTGCACCACAGAGCACGGTCCAGAGGTAAAGAGCGAAGACATCAAGGTTTCTGAGTGATTTGTTTTTATTCGTTTTATGTTAAATTTTTCGAGGTAGAAAAACCTGTCCAGCCCTGTCGTGGGGCCTAAGCCCCGTGGAAACGCAGCCATTAACCATTTCAGCCAAGCTCTGAGGCCGCGGATACAAAGGTACGATGGCCCTGACAGGCTTTAAAATGCATGTGGAAACGACTTCCGCTAAGTAAAGAGCTTACCCAGATGCATTTAAAAGCGAGTTATTATCCCACCTGCTGCATGGGCGAGGCACGCGCCTGAACCTGCTGGTTTGGTTTTTGTTTTTTGTTTTTTTAGATTAGAGCCCTTTCCACCAGAACTGATTATTTCAGGGCTATGGGTTGAAGGAAAATGGTTAACGGTGGGGCAGACTTGGATGCGCCTGGGGGTTCAACTGCCGAGCTTTAACACGCGCACGCGCGTTGGGCACCCGGCCTGGTCCCCTTCTCACGGACCTCTCGGTCCACTTGTGGCTGACGCATGCAGCCTGCCCCGGACAAGCAGGGTGTCGCGAGGATGCAGGATGAAGCGAGATAGAGAATAAGAGGGACAGATTAAAAACCTGCTGGTGGCGCCAACAGCTGAGACCTCGATAGACCGCTGCCTGGTGACCAGGGTAGAGCAAATACAGCTGGCAGGTAAGACTGCATTAATAACCGGACGGCGGGAAAAGCCCCACGCATCCGTGCGCGGCATTACATCCGCATCCGAAAACCGGATCATGTCCCGATAGTCGCCTGGCGGCGTCTTGGAATCCGTTCGTCCGTGTAACCAAGCGAGTGAGTGCTGCCATCTATCGGCGTTGGGGGGAAGGCCCGAACCGCGACCCGCCCCGGCGAGGAGCTGCCGGCGCTCAACGTAGGCGCCTCCCGACAGCTTGTCGCTTCAAGCCAAGTCCATCCAGCGGCACTGGGGCGGGACGCCAGTTGCCTCAGGGCTCAGTCTGACCACCTTCACCTGCGTCACGCGCTGTTTTGTTTTTTTAAGGAACTTGCTCAGGCTATGTGTCTGGCAACATTGGTGGGATATTTCACTAAGTCAGCTTTGCTGTGCAAAGATGGCAGGTCCTAGGTACATTTGTGCAGTTTGGAGGGTGTCATGTTGTTTGGCTCTCAATGTTTTCCCCTTGCTGACGTCAAAACTCATGTGATCTTCTGAATCATAGTCTTGAAAACCGGCAGCTTATGCAATTCCCCCACGTGGCCAATCCCCTTCGTTGCTTGAAAGGCCTCAACGACCTATCAGAAGGCTCTTTGCGCCGATCAGAGCCCCTTCAGTCGATGAGAGCCTCTGCGTCGGTCAGGCACCACCAGTACCGAACAATCGGCTTCGTGCTGGTCTGGGCAGGAGGCCCCATCTCCCACACATGAGAGCCTCTGCGTCGGTCAGGCACCACCAGTGCCGAACAATCGGCTTCGTACCGGTCTGGGCAGGAGGCCCCATCCCCCACACATGGACAAGGCCGGTGCCCGATATTTGCATTAATCGGCCCCTTATGCAAAGAATGACCCCTGTCTTGACCAGAGGCCCTGGTCAAGGGCTTATAATGCAAGCCCAACCATGAGACCAAGCCCACCAAGCCCCTGTGTCAGTCAGGGCTCCAGCACCGGACGGGCCCTCCGCCCGATGTCAGTCAGGGATGTTCAAGCTCAGCTGAACTCTTTGCCAATTATTGAAGCCCCTGCGAATTATCAGGGATCTTTTTTGCGGCAATGAGAGCCTCTGCGTCAATCCGGGGCCACTGACCGGGTCAGAGGATCTTCCTGCAACAGGGAGGGGGGTCTCCATTTTGCTAGAATGATAGCCGGTAAGCACCCCGCGCTGGGACGAAATGGCCCTTCAGTCCCTGACCGGCAGCGGATAATGTGGCCCCGGTCTTCTACCCATGAACCCCTGGTCTGTGAAAAGGTAAGGTGTCTAATCAGGAGACTTTTGTCCGTCTCTTTCTGGATCATGATTTGGCTCATGAGCCAATCATTTTGGGATGAGTGATGAGCTGAGTCGGCTTGCTAGGAAAAATGCCGTCTTTAATCATCAGCTGAATCACATTTTCGTGAATGTCATGAGCTAAATTACGAGCCGATAATTTCTAACAGTGGTGTGTCAGTACCAAGCACTCGATGTTTTTGTTCGCGGAATGCGTGCTTTTGGTTATAGTACGGTAAGAATGATCCTGCTTCTCAACCATCTATGTTCACGCCTAAATTATGGAATTTCATTGCATATTTGTCGTAAAAATGAGCGCCGTTCCTGCAAATGCTTAAGGGAATGCTGCTCCTTTGTGTGGGGATTGGAACTGAGATAGCCAGATTATAGAGCGTGTTATGATATTCAGTGCTACACCGTAATCAAAACCAAAACATGATTAGCCTACGGTATGTTTCATTTTGGGCACAGTTTAAGCATGACGTCATGAATGATGTCACACGAAAGCAGGAGAGGCCCCGATCGGCTGATAAATGTCACGTGAAACGGTCGCTGCAACGAAGGGTGTGAACGTGCTTGGTTGGAGCGTCAGTCCTCTGCAGGGTGACGAAATGAAGCTGGTTGTTATCAAAGTCCCAGCATTTGTGAGCAGAAAACGAAAAGCAGGCTGCTAGGTTTCACGATCTGCTTAATCATAATTCAAGTGAAACACTTACATTTTAAGTCGCACTTCGCAGATGAAGTTATTTTCTGAACGAATTCAAAGCCAAAATTTATCGAGCTCTGAAAAATCCTGAGTGGAATTACAGGCGAGACCCGCAGGCTGAGCGACTCTTGTTTGCACTGTGGACAACTGCTGCTCGTTTTGGTCTGAATTGTTTTGTTTCGATAAAAAGCAACACTTCAAATGAAATTTTCATACGTGATTGATGGACATGATGCTACATCACCAAAGTAAACTCGTGTATGAAACTTTTTTCCTGCAGAGTATTGGTTCTGCCATTCACAGCTTTTATGTGGACGGCTGCTAGCTGGACGGGGGCACAATGGCCAAAAACTCAATGAACCCGTTACACAGCTCTCAAAGGGGTATACGTGCCATTTTAAAAAAGCTTTGATCTGAACCCTTTGAATGGATGGATGTCTGGGATCATACCTCACGCTAAACAGTGTTTGTTGTGTGAACTCTGACCCCTGCCATCCGATCGCGCAATTCCAAGCAACGGTAGCATTTAGTGGCCAAAGTTTTTTTTGGGGGGGGGCGCAAGGCGGGGCAAGGTCCACCCCGCCCTCCAACGTCAACTGACCTTTAGCGCGACTGCTGCCACCGACCGCAGACTATGCCTGTCAAGGATAAATAGCGAGCGCCTAAAGCGACTCGAACGCACCCCGCCACGGGTGGGTGGATCGGAACGCAGGCGCTCTAACCAGCTGCGCCACCGGGACGGACACCCGTGGACCATCGGTCACAGACGCCCGGGGTGGTGAGAACTTCGACATGCAGCACATATTGAATGAGTCCAACTGTAAGAGGCTTACACGCCTTGAAGCTACCCATGAAGTCCAAAACTTGGAAGGTGTTGCTAGAAGAAAAAGGACATGGCGTGGGCAGGAGAGGCGCGGAGATGGCTCCGTGGTTTAGCCAGCATTCAAACGCTTTTGCAAATGTGTCGTCCTCAGATACGGTTGTACTTCTGGCTGTGCAATAGGCTTAGCAGCCACAGTGTTGTGCACTGGGGGACGGCTGAGGTCAGTTTAAGACCACCCACAAACCGCTCCATCCGAAGAAGGCGTCAAAGACAGCGTCCGTTACTATGCGGAAGGGTCAGTCTCCGATCGTCCCTTGTTCTTTGAAGACGAGAACGAGGATTTTGTCAACATCACCTCGGAGCGGTACGTCGGTAAAAACTCTAACACCCCTCTTGGCAGCCCTGCAGCGAATTCACGGGATCTATTGAGATGAGGAGTGGCTCCAGCGGGACGAGACGGCGCCCGCACGTTCCCTGGCTTTACCGGACTACCAGGAGGAGCATTTACCTGGAAGGCACATCAGTCCTAAGACTCAAGTGTTGTGGGCCTCCTCACTTACCCGAGCTGTCGCCCCTGGACTTCATGCCCTGATTGTCTTAAGGACCCGCTACGCGGACCACCCAAGCAAACATTCAAGAGCTGTAGGCCCACCATCGGACTTGAAATGGGACGCTGCGCTGTCCACAAAATACTAACAGCCTCAGACTTAGACTCAGACTCGACGAGACTCACTCACACTCAGACCGACTAGACTCACTCACACTCAGACCGACCAGACTCAGACTCAAACTCGGACGAGACTCACTCACACTCGGACCGACCAGACTCAGACTCAGGCTCAGACGAGACTCACTCACACTCAGACCGACCAGACTCAGACTCAGACGAGACTCACTCACACTCAGACCGACCAGACTCAGACTGCAGACTCAGACGAAACTCACTCACACTCAGACCGACCAGACTCAGACTCAGGCACAGACGAGACTCACTCACACTCAGACCGACCAGACTCAGACTCAGGCTCAGATGAGACTCACTCACACTCTGACCGACCAGACTCAGACTCAGACTCAGACTCAGACTTGCAGCAGGACCGCCTGCCGCGCAACCCGAACAGCAGTGGGCCCATCTTGAGCGTCTTCTGCAGGGTCGATTTGACGTACTCGATTGAATCAATATTACTCGAGCGCGTCATTTGACAGACTCGTGATCGCTGATGACGTCGCTACTGTCGGTGGCACCCTGTTATGGAATTATCGTTCGAATGCCCCACAGTCCTCATCACGCGACGAATATCCTCGCCACTGCTGGGTACGGCGTGAGTAAACTTCCATCTAGGCTGCCCTGCAGAAACTAGCAGGTTTGCGCTCACTATCATAGCTTCATGAGGTCTTTAGTAAAAAAGCTGTGATAACTTGCCTTTGCTGCTCAAAACATTACGTTAACTGTTGCCAAGCGGCTAGCAAGCAGCTCTCTCGCTTTTTTATAGTGCAGTAACTTATATATGCTCGTCAAAGCACTACGATATTTTGGCGAAGTAGCTGGCGGGCCAGGCAAGGCCATTACATTGGTCCCACTGCAAAAATAAGTAGGGAAGATAAAAATGTAGAAGCTACGGCATACCCTTCTTTTTTTGTTCTAGTTCCCTTGTTCCATGAATTTGTTTTTATATACCGATATAATTCGGTTTCGTTTGGCACCTAAACGGGATAGGTTGAAGTGGGTTTCATGTAGCGTTTCTTTTATTATGGCAGGCCTTCAGTCGAAAGCGTGCGGACCGGGACGAAGCGCTAGCGTGATAGAAATCTATGTTTCCAGATATGCTGTGCGTAAAAACTCTTAAACTTAAACTTAAAAACTACTGGCCTACTGCATAGAAGGGCTGTGTTTTTAGAAGAAAACAAGAAAACAGCCTTTTTCTAGGGCCCCGTACCTTGTAAAACAGCCAACGCACGTTCATTTCCGTCTTGCCGACAAGACAAATGTCAGGTGCACTATCTACCAGGTACAAAGGAGAACGAAAGACAGTTGCAGTCATATCGATGACCTTAACTCATTGGAGTCATAGAAGAGCTCAAATGGATCCCCTAAATGACCCTAAATAAATTTGAACTACGTTAGAAAAAGTGTGCTCGGAAACATAATTCCCTGGTACTTTACATCGATGTCAGCTCATGCCCTGGATGACAGTGGTAGGGTTTCTTTTCAAAAACAGCCGCCGCACACAAGCATCAGACGCTATATTCACAGCGTCATCTGATCGTCGCAATGGCCAGCGACTGTCACCCATGCATCAATCCAAGTTTGGGAAAGTAAAGGAGATATTGGTTATTTTCGCGCCAGCGCTCTCCCTGGCTTTAGGTTGCCCTTCGTTTGTTTGTCCAACGTTTTCGGACTTCCATGCAGAGCATAACGAGAAGGAACGGTAAGGTGGTGAAGCGGAGAGGCATAACTCTTTTTAGGTCTGCATTTTGTGTTATTTGAGCACCACAGACGGCTTCTTTGGCTATCATAAAATGATTGTCCTGTGAGCTCCGCCCCCTCCCTCTACAAAGTCCTCCTGGCTGCAGTCATGCATGCCTGCACCTGGTGTTGGGGCACCTGTCTGCCTATGTTTGTAGACACCCATCTTCCCACTTTGCTCAGCGCACTCTGCTTAGGCTTTTAACGCTCTCCTCTTGGGCGTGGAAGGAAACATCTTTAGGGATAAGGGAATCCTTTCCGGGCTTGTGGTGTCACTTCGCTGAATTTATGACTCCCTTACGTTTCGACTTCTGTATGATCCCCTGCTTGGGCTCGGTGATGTAAATCTACCTGGACATTGGGACTCTCTTTATACCTGTGCAATAGATACATAGTATACCTCTATTCTCATCTCGGTCGCTGAGGACCTACCTTTACCTAGAGCTTGAGGCGCCCCTGTCTAGACTTAGGGCAAATTGTTACTGGATTAGTGGCGCCCTTTTCTCTGGCTTGGAACCCCTCCTAAATGAGTCAGACATCGATCTGCGTGCGCTTAAGGGGCTCGTTCACCTGGGCTCAGCGGCGCCGCTCTACTTGGAGCATCTGCCTTCGAACTTCTTATGGCAAGGACACTTACACTGGCCGAAATGTCTTCCAAATTTTCGGGCGCCAAGAGTATGTAGCCTGAGCCCTTATGTCACCAGGGGATTGCGTCACTGGGTATAAAACATGCTCTAATACTTTGTGATGCTTGGTTAACATTACGAGCGAAGCAAATCAACCACTTGCAGCCTTACAAGGAAACATCTCATGCATCCTATCAGCGAATGTTAGATGACGACTGGAACACTCTCCTTATGCCATATTAATCTTAGCGGATGATGGTTTATGGCTGGCATCGCTAGTCACTGCAGCAGCGCATAAGGATGGCTGCACCTTTCTGGTGTGCGTTTAACTATTCTTTCTATATAGATTCGTTGTTTATAATCAAATCTTTTCGAATTACTTCTCGAGAGTTTAGATTTTATGCTCGAACGGCAATTGCTGGGATTTTTCGAATGGTCTCCTCGCTCATTATCACCAACAAGTAACCCCACCAGCAAGACCTTCGTTGGCTTTCCCAAGCTGGGGATAACATTTCCGCTTATTGGTTTTATCATTGACATGTATCATAGTCCTTCAAAGCTTGTTTCGTTTAGAATACGTTGTTAAATTATCTAAAACCTCAAACTATGCGCCTTAAACTAAGCTCCGTCTCTTAACAATTTAACCAGAGGCTTACTTGTTATCCGAGCCGTTATCACACCATGGGGTGCGAAGGTCAAAACAGAGGTAGATGCCAAATAGATATAGCAGTGATTTCAGGCCCCAGTCTCCGATTGGAGACTCACACAGTGACGTGGGCTCCATCTCAGAATAACTGGGGGTGATGTCGAGAGCTGGCCTCAGAGAGAGAGAGAGCGAGAGAGAGAGAGAGAAGAGAGGAGGGGGGGGGGGGGGGGGAGGGGGAGAAGAGAAGAGAAGCGAATAGAGATAGAAGAGAGAGAGAGAGAGAGAGAGAGAGGAGAGAGAGAGAGAT